CTATTAGATCCCTCTTTCTTCTCTAATAATGTTAAAATAGCAACTAAGCGTCAAATGTTTAAAAAAATATATAAAAACTTAACGGAAGGGGTGCCTGGGTGGCTCAGTGGGTTAAAGCCTCTGCCTTCTGCTCGGGTCATGATCCCAGGGTCCTGGGATCGAGCCCCGCATTGAGCTCTCTGCTCAGCGGGGAGCCTACTTCCTCCTCTCTCTCTCTGCCTGCCTCTCTGCCTACTTGAGATCTCTGTCTGTCAAATAAATAAATAAAATCTTAAAAAAAAATGGGAACTGTATTAGTCTGCTAGGACTTCCATAAGAAAATACCCAGACTGGATAATTTAGAACAATAAAAATTTATTTTCTCTCAGTTTATCTCTCACAAACTAGAAGTTCAAGATCAAGATGTCAGCACATTTGATTTCTCCTGAAACCTTTCTCCTTGGCTTATAGATGGCAGCCTTCTACCTGTGTCCTCACATGGCCTTTTCTTTGTGTGAGCACCTCTCTTCTTTCCTTTCTTCTTCTTATAAGGTCAACAGTCAGATTAAATTAGGGCCCCACCTCTATGTCTACCCCTAGGCATATGGTTAATCACCTCTTTAAAGGCCCTACCCCCAGATGCCTTTGCAGGGGTTAGGGCTTCAACATATGAGTTTGGGGGAAACACAATTCAGTCCACAACAGAGATCAATGAAACAACATCAGCTAGTCAGACTCACACACATCCTCTGCCTAGAAGGTTTTCCTTAAATTAATATTTAAATTTAAACAGTTCCAACAAGTTTTTTGTTGATGTCATCGTTGGAACTGAACAAAATTATACTAAAGTTACTTGGAAGAGCAAATATATGAAGTAGTCACAAATTTGCAGAAAATAAATGAAAGGGAATTTGCTCTATGAAATATAAATGTATAGTACAGTAATGTATACTACAACAATAAAAACAGTCTGAGATAAACACCAAAACAGGTCATTTCTTTCTTGATAAAATAGGAGTGAAATGCCCAGAAATAGACTCAAGGATGTACTAGAGGGTGTTATATGGAAAAGCTAGTATTTAAAATCAATGGAGAAATAATTTGTTTTAAAAAAAAAAAAGGCACTGGAATATCTATATAACATTTTGCAAATAATATTAGGTTAGATTTCTATCACAAACCACCCACCAAAATAAAATAGGGAAAGCTTTAATTGTTTAAAAAATACACACATACCTACAAATACATACATACGAGCATGCTACATAAAGAAGTCCTACAAATCAATAAGACAAACAATCCAACATAAAAATGGGCAAAAGATGTGAACAGGCACTTATTAAAAAAAAGATACCCAAATGGCCAATAAGCATCTCTAAAAGGACTCAACATCATTAGTCATAAGAGAAATACAAATGAAAACTCCAATGAGAACCAACAAACCCGCAACAGCCAACAATAAAAGGCAAACATGCAAAGTAACTTGAACTCCTTTATGTATTGCTAGTGAGAGTGTAAATTGCTTCTACCATTTTGGGAAACTCTCTGGCAGTATTTACTAAAGCCAAATAGAGTCTATCCTATGACCCAGGAACACTATACTCTGGTATATTACAGAGAGAGAAGCACTCATGTCCACCAAAAGACATATACAAAAAAATACTTCATAGTTCCAAGCTGTAAACAATCTAAAGTCAATCAACATCAGAATTGATTAATAGTTTGTGGTATAATCATACAATGGAATAATGCTCAGCAATCATAAATAATATTTACCACTACATGGTGAGTGTCCCAGACATAATGATGAATAAGAGGCCAGAACAAGAGTCATATTGTTGGATGTTCAAAAGCCAGAAAAACTAAGCAATGGAAGCAAAGATCAGAACAGTACTTAATTTTGAGAAGGGTATTCACTGGGTGGGGACACAGAGAAACTTGCTAGAGTACTGGAAATGGTCTATCTCCTGATCTGGGTGCTGTATGTGTAGATAGATACATAAAAATTCATCAACCTTCACATTTTAGTGTTGAGCACTTAACTCTATGTAATGAAAAAGGAAGTACACACATACTGAAAAGTACTGAAGGAAAACATAGATGGGGAACATTTATGTAATCTTAAGAGAAGGGGAAGGTCTTTGTAAACATGACCTCAAGATAAAAACTAGAAAGAGAAAAATGAATTTAACTTCATAAAAATAAAAAAAAATGAAACTTCTACATGGCAAATAAACTAGGAAACATTTTTGCAATTATATAACAAAGAATTAAAAATTTAATATGTAGGAAGAATTAAAAATTTTTAATATATAGGAAACTCTCACAAATCAATAAGGAAAGACAAGGGTATGGTAAGTACATTTACCAAATACAAAAATAAATAGCCGTTAAACACATAAAAAGAATACAAATTAAAACAAGATACTATCCTTCACTTATCAGACAGGCAAAAATAAAAATATATTCAGAATAGTGTTGGTATAGGGAAAGAGCTCTCTCATAAATTACTTGTGGAGCCACAGAATGGCAGCCTTTCTGAAGGGCATTTTAAAATATAGTACTTTCCAAAGACCAGAATGAGCACATTTCCTTAGCCAAACAATTCCACAAGTAAAAATTCATCTTAAGGGGAAAAAACCAACATGACAAGCTTGTAAAATTTCTGTACAACGATGGTCAGTGCAACATTGCTAAAAGCAACAAAGTAAATTCATATAATAGATCACGTATAAATTCTAAAATAGCCACTCTTTATGAAGCATATATGAACTAATTACATGTATTATCTCATTTGGTTGTCACAAGAACTCTGAGAGCTATTATACTATTCCCATTTTCATCTGAAGATGAGAAAATTGAGGTTCAGAGAAATAATGAGATTTGCCCAAGCTCAACAATCTAGTGAGTGACAGATACAGAATTAGAACAAACTTGGTCTGACTCCAAAAGCCAGTGTTCTTTAATTTAGATTACATCTATTGACAAGGAAGAACATTTATACCACAGTGCTAAATGAAAATGCAGTTTATAGAACAATTGCACGGTTTGATTCTATTTTGTAAAATATACGCATAACTATAGCTATTAGACGTACAGATGTGAAATTCTGGAAATTTTCTGGGGAAATTCTGGAAGGATATATGTTAAAATGTTAATAAATGTTCTTCTTTGGGTGTTTGGGGAATTTTTTTTTCTTTATGTTTGTTTTTCTTTTCTACAGTGATTAAATTCAATTTATAAATAGAAAAACAAGTCTTTAAAATCAATGCCTCTTTGAAATTTTAAATCCTATCCTATTGCCTATTTTACCAGAAATGTGAAGTCTATTACCTCCCCACATTTTTAAATAAATAAGTATCCTTCATACACTTATATTCAACAAACACATCTTGAGCACCTACTACGTTCTGGGAACTATTACATAAATGATTTTACTTCGGTGAACCCAGATTCTCCTAATTGCTTCTAAGTATGGCTTCAAGGGTACCCACCCTCCCTCTCATATCTTGATCACAACTATCTGCATTTGGATTTTAAGTGTTATCTCTAATTACTGAATGGAGTCAAACCCATGCTAAAGGCATATCTGGTATGATACTACCAGTGGTTGGCCTGTCTCAGTGATTTCAGGCTTTGCAGAATCAGATAAATAAATGTCTCATCAGACACCACCTCTGTACTGCCCCACTCCCGAAAGTAGGGGGCATGCTGGCCTGAAGTGGATTCTTAAAGTTTATTTCAAAACGTTACGTGGAGGGCCACATCTCACAACCCAGACCACAGTGGCCACCACCATCAGGTGCAAATTCCCCACTTGTTATACAGTCCTTCACCTATCTTCCCCCTACCTTTCTTACTCCCTTTCTTTCCGGAACCCTGGGTCCTAACGCTAACCCTCCCTTCTGCTCTAAGCCCATCAAATAGGGTGATTTTAGAGCCCATTCTCACTGGATCTCCTCTCTTCCCTTTAGACCTCCACGTATGTCTGATTCAAAAAAACAAACAAGCAAACAAAACAAAACAACCCCCTCCCCCCGCCCAACACACACACTGTGGGACTTTCACAGCCCCAAGTTTTCTCAGCCAAGACAGCTCTTCCCAAAGGGGAGGAAAACAGCTGCTCACTTGTCCCTAGAGACAGAGAAGGAGGTGATCCCGCAGCAGTGAACGCCCAGGGGTCCGTGGTGGTGAGGGAGGGGAAGAGAGCGAATCTCTCCTCTCTACACTCTTACTGCGAGGAAGGATCCATCGGGCTTTGCTAACGTTGAGTGTTAGGGGGACTAAACTCTTCCTGCTACCACTGAAAACAGCACGGGCACTGTTTGTTCACGCAGGATTTTTCAAATGGTTTCTTAAAAATGAAAGAAAAAAAAAACAAGGATTTGGCCACATCACTACAATACCGGTTAGAGTCTAAAGCAGACGGCGCAGTTCGCAGGGGCATTCCCTGGCACGGCGCCCGCCATGAACCCCGCACTCCCGCACCACTGTGAGGCGGCGGGAGTCGGCGGCTCGGAGCGTGGATCTGATTGGATGGCAGCAGCGAGCGCCGAGCGTGTGTGCTGCCCCCCGGTGGTCGGCCACAGCCTCCTCGGCTATCACTGCGGTGGGGATTCGAGTTGAGGTACCTGAACGTATTCGGTTCACAAGCCCGCTGGGAGCTTCCACAAGAAAAGGCGGTGGGTACAGTTCTGGGGCGTCGATTCACAGAGGCTGGAGCCTAGTGGCTGGGCAGAGGCGACAGCCGCGTGAGGTCATCACCTCTTCTCACGACAAGAGCACCCGCCCTGCTCTCGCGTCCACACTGAGCGTCCGTGGACTGGGCACTCCTGGCGGCACACAGAGCCCGAGGCAGTTCTAACTCCGGCAAGGTGGCGCCCGAGCACCCAGAAGAGCTGGCGCACAGAGGCCCGAACAAAGCTGTGGGCGGCAACGTCGCCCACCCTGTGAAGGTCACCTAGGAGACCAGGTCCGCCCCACCCACCGTGTCTGGCAACCTAGACCAGCCAGGGCAGAAAATGGAAGAGCCTCCCGAAGAGGCTCCCGCAGAATCCTTGGCACCTGAAAGCACAGCCAAGTCCCCAGATGACAGCCACACAGATGGCCAGGAAGACAACTGGCAGAACCAGGATGAAGAAAACGTAGAGGACCAGACTGATCCCAGAACGGCTGAGCAGGTTGCCCAAAGAATGTTGGGGCAGACTGACCACAAAGGATCTGAACCCACCGGGCTCCAAGCATCCGATCAAGCGGATCTCAGGGCATCCGACCACACTAATGTTGCTCAGCGTAGTGCATCTGATCAGGACGACCAAAGAATGTATGAACAGACAGACAGGAGGACATCTAGACAAACCAATCGTGTACAGGTGGAAGAAACTGACAGCCAGATGTTTCTTCCACGTGAACAAAGAACTTCTGAGCAGTCTGAACGCAGGAGGTCCCACCAGGCTGAAAGCAGAGATTACGGGCAGATTGACCGCAGAATGTCCAGCCAGACTGAGCCAAGAGCTTCTGAGCAGAGTCACCATAGATTGTCTGTCTCATCAGAACAACGAGCCTCTGAACAGACTGGCCACAGAATGCCCAGCCAGTCTGACAACAGAACTTTAGAACAGATCGACAGCAGGTTGTCCGGCCTGGTCGAACGAAGAACTTCTGAAAAGATCGACAGCAGGTTGTCTGGCCTGGCTGAACGAAGAACTTCTGAAAATATTGGTCATAGACCATCTAACCAAGCTGACCTCGTACCATCTCTAAAGACTCACCAAGATGTATATGAGGAAGCTGCTGACCAAGCTGACCGCAGTGCCTATCACCTTCCCGTTGACAATGCTGACTACAGCGATGAGATGGAACACTTAATGGCTGAAGAGAATTACTACAAGGACTACCTAGCTAACTATGGAGCACCTGGCCAGTACAACGACAGAATATTTGCCCAATTTGGTGACATTAAGGGGTACAAAGAAGCTGAGCCCAGAATAGAACCCTGTGATTTTGAGACCAAAGAAACCACCGGTGACAATTCCCCAGTTTCAGTTGAGACTGACAATGAAAGTGAGACCTATCTGCCAGCCTTTGGCTCGTTTGGTGCCAGATTCACCAGTGATTTGCAAGCAAAAGACCAAGTCTATTCTCAGAGATTCCCCTATATCTCACCCAAGTTGGACTATATCATCAGTCAAGAAAAAACTGAAGCTGTAGAAACCAAGCCTGTAGGTTAAAGGGGCATTTGATAACCACCTGGGGGATTGGAGGCCAAGGCAAGGGCCTGTTGTGGTGGTATGGGGGCAGGGAGAGGGTACATGTTGAATCAAAGATGAGGAATAAACCTGCCTGTTCCATCTTTGAGGAATAAGCCTTATTCCTCAAAGATGAGGAATAAACCCTATTCCTCAAAGATGAGGAATAAACCTGCAGTTGATTCAGGAAGGGCAGGAGATCCCAGAAAGGCAGGAAATAGGGTGGGAAATAGATTTGTTGTTCTGCCGCTACAGGAAGGGCATTCAGGAAGGATCATGAGCCAGGATTCAGGAGACCTGGGTTTCAAGACCTCGTTCTGCTGCCTGCTCTGGGGCACTAAGTCCTCTCTGGGATTCCTCCAAAGGAAAGGCTTTTGGAATCAGTTGGAGATCCCTATGAAGGGAAAAGTATTTGAAGTAGATTGGAGATGTGTAAGGTACGTCCCGGGACTTGAGGTGCATTATGTTGCCAGGGGGACCAGTCAGGTTTGTCATCAGAATGTGTCTTTTCTCCAGCTCCTGGTGTTCAGGTCCCTCCAACACCAGATTCCACTGATAATAACAACAGTAACAACAGAACTTCCTGGGTCTTTTCAGTTTATTAAAGACTCTCTGGTGGGGGGATATTTCTATTTCAGGATGATGTTCCAGAACACCAAGAAGGAAGGAAATCTTTTGGATACAATCAAACTTATAAGAGGCAGTTCCCTCCTATTGTATATGAAGATCCTTATCAAGTTTCACTACGATACATGGAGAAGCACCACATTCTGCAAATATTCCAGGTAAACCTCTCAACCCTGTTCTTTAAGAGTGAGTTTTACAGTGATTACAATGTAAAAGACAAACTTGGACCTGGCTCATAGAGGTACAAGAATGGGTCTTTGTTATAAAAAGGATATAAACTCATTGAGAAGTCAGTAAGTGCACTGAAATGTGTTAACCAAAAGTAGTAAATGAGAAATATCAAAGAATGAGGGTACCTGGGGGGCTCAGTCAGTGGAGGTAGTGTACCTTAGGCTCAAGTCAGGATCTCGGGGTCCTGGGATCAAGCCCCACGTCAGGCTCCTTACTCAGCTAGGAGTCTCTGCTTCTCCCTCTCCCTCTGCTCCTCCCCCACCTCATGCTCTCTCTCTTTCAGATAAATAAATAAATAAATTAATTAATTAATTAATTAATTTAAAAAATTGGGGAAAAAAAGACAAAAAACAAAGAATGCTACTTACTGTAGTATGAAGCCCTTCAGAGGGATTAGAGGTAAGGCAGGTTAGTTGATAGGGAAAAAGTTGGCCAAGGCTTAAAGCTTGAGTCAGACTGGGAAGGAAAGACAAAATATTGGCAATTGAAAAGGCAAGAGAAAAGCTTTTTCAGGCACAAATATAATACTTTCACAAGATGACCAATCTGGGACCACCTAAAAACTGCATTCCTTAGGGAGAAAAAGAAGTAGTTGAAAGTTGCTTTTAATTCTTGAAGTTACAAATTTCATTGACCTCAGGATATGGGGCTGGAGCCTCCTTGAAAGTATGACATTTTCTTGGTCAGTAGAGAATTAGAAGAGATTATCACATTTATATAATTTTTTGTTATTTGGTGGGTTGTTTTTCTTTTTCCAAATATTTATTTTTATGTTAATGTTATTACCCACCAAGGCACAAGTATGTATATCATAATGTGTACATGTAGTAACATTGTGTTTAGAAAGGTATAAAATAAAAATGGCCTACCTCAAATGAAAATGTGCAAACTGGGAGAAAAAAAAAATTTAAACTGGGAAAGTTTAAGTTTCAGGAAGTAGGGTAGAGAGGCAAGAGCGCAAATTATGCAATCTGTTAGCCAAAGCCCCATCCTAACTTTGCCAATTCTCATCTTTGTGATTTGGAGAAAATTAATTAACTTCAGTGAATCTTAGTTTCCTCATATAAAATAGAGTGATTTTACTCCATCAACCCTGCTCTATGCCTTTTCTTTCTTAAAATATCCTTTTGTGGGAGAGTGCTAATGGCTGGGTTTTCTAGCTTTAATGAGAGAACTACGAATTATTAATGAATTGAAGAAAGTAGAAATCAAATCATTTTATAAATAATTTCCTTCATCTGTCAAGGAAAAACAATACTTGAGAATACAACATTATTATATATGAAAAATTAGTTACCAAGTATGTGCTCAATAGAAACATATATGAAATATGTAATTGGCATGGGTGCATTAAAAGGATATTAAATATTTTATACCTGAAACTTGCCCAACTGTTATTCCCTGCAAATGAGACTTCTGCTTGCTTTATTATAATTTTTTGAGTTATTAAACAACAACAAAGTATGGAAGTGAATTTTGAAGTTTTGTATATGCTTTCTCATTTATTATTATAAACATTAAACGTCTTTTTCACCTTTTAAAATCAAATACCTCACGAGGAAGTTTCTATGTAAAGACATATCATGTTTTTAATTTACTCAAAAGACTTTTCTTTTGAATAAAGATAAAGTGATTAATTCATTTATTTCTCAGGCTAGCAAATCACAATTCTCAAAACAAAAACTTTGTCCAAAACTTTCTCACTACTTGTTTGATCTTGGAAGCTAGAAAAATATCCATTGCTATTTATTATGAAATTTTTATTCTTCTATATTTTACTTTAATTTGCCTTGTTTTATCAGTAGTCAGAAAGTAATTTGTCACTTTGTAGAGATACATAAATTTCTTTTTTTTTTTTTTAAAGATTTTATTTATTTATTTGACAGACAGAGATCACAAGTAGGCAGAGAGGCAGGCAGAGAGAGAGGAGGAAGCAGGCTCCCCACTGAGCAGAGAGCCTGATGCGGGGCTCAATCCCAGGACCCCGGGATCATGACCTGAGCCGAAGGCAGAGGCCTTAAACCACTGAGCCACCCAGGCGCCCCTTGAGATACATAAATTTCTTTAAAAGACTATGGTGTTGAGTTAGTGCAAAACGTAGCTTCAGCTAGAACCTGACCACTTAACTTCAGCTCAGAACCATAATGTGATGCCTCATGCTCTCTCTCAGCAGATCACTGAGAACTTAGTCTATGAAAAGCCAGAGGACCCCCTCAGTTTTATGCTGTGCCAGGTATGGAATAGGAGAAAGAGAACAAGCTTTTAATTCTGTTTGTTGTAAAATGCAGCACACATACATGCATCCAAAACAAAACATGTCCAACTCCATGGGTTATCATGAAGTGAGCACTTATAAAATGTTGAACGCTAATGTCTTTTTAGCATTAGCCATATTCATGGGTAAATAGTAACATCTGCAGCGTCCATCTGCTTTTTCCTGATGACTAAGGCAGCTGCATACCTTTTAACTTGTTTATTGGCCATTTGGAAGTACTTCTTTTTCTATTGTTTGTCTTTTTCTTATGCACTTGTCACAGTTTTATACAATTTCTAGAAGGGTATGAGCCCTTTGTTGAGTTTCTTGCAGGTTTCTTTTTCTGCTCTCTGCCTTCCCTTTTTATCTCTTGAAGGTATCTTTTGATGAACAGAAATTCTTAATTTTTTTATTAATTTTTAAAATTTTTTATAAACATATAATGTATTTTTATCCCCAGGGGTACAGGTCTGTGAAGAAATTCTTAATTTTGGTACGGTTACATTTGCAACCTTTTTAATTCATGCTTAGTACCTCTGGTGTCCTCTTTTGGAAGTCTTCTTAGTCCGAACTCCTGACATAGCCCCTTATATTATAGAGAGTTGTGGATTTTTTTTTTTTTTTGGCAGGGTGTTAAATTTACTTTATTTTGCCTTTGACATTGGTATCCAGTCACTTCAGAATTGACTTTGTGTAGGGTGTGAGGTGGGATCAAGTTACATTTTCTTTTCTAAGCAGACATCCAATTAACCAAGCACCTTTAGTAAAAGGACCGTACCTCCCATACTGCTTTTTAGTTAATTTTGATGGTATATTTGTTTATCCTTGCTCCATACAAGACTGTCTTAATTAGTATACCTTAAAATTAAGTCTTAAAATCAATCAGAGCAAGTCATCATATCTTACTTCTCTTTAAAAATATCTTGTTTAGGGGCGCCTGGGTGGCTCAGTGGGTTAAGCCTCTGCCTTCGGCTCAGGTCATGATCTTAGGGTCCTGGGATCGAGCCCCGCATCGGGCTCTCTGCTCAGCAGTGAGCCTGCTTCCCCCTCTCTCTGCCTGCCTCTCTGCCTACTTGTGATCTCTCTCTCTCTCTCTCTTTCTGTCAAATAAATAAATAAATAATAATTTAAAAAAAAAAAAAATATATATCTTGTTTATTCTTAGGCCTGTGCATTCCCATATCAATATTTGGAGTTATTTATCAAGTCACAAACACATACACACACAATTAGAAACGCACACTGATGAGATTTTTACTAGGACTGTGCTGAATCTGTAGATCAATTTGGGAAGAAGGGATGGCTTGAAACAATGAGTATTTCTAATCCTTTATCCTCTGCATTTACTTAGGTCTTTAATTTCTCTCAATATAGTTAGTTGCACAAAGATTTTACATATTTTTGATAGACTTATTCATAGGTATTTTACAATTTTGATGCCTTTGTAAATAGAAATTTTTGAAATTTCAGGTTCTATATGCTGGCATATAGAAATACAGCAATTTTTTTGCTGATATTATATCCAGCAACCTTACTGAATTCAACTTATTAATTCTAAACACGTATTTGTAGATAGTGTGGATATTTCTACATATATAATCATATCATTTGCAAATAGTGAATTTTATTTGATTTTTCTGATCCTTATCCTTTTTTTTCCCACTTGTCTTATTGCATTTATTATGTATCTTCTCTTTGCCTCTTCAGATCCACCTTTTTTTCTTTTCTATCCTACAAAGTAGCTAATCCATATAGACTAGATCAACAGGCTTTCATTCCTTCTGACTTCCGGATGGGTTAAACCAATGGGAAACTCTGGAGGATGATTGGGAGGAGGAAAGAGAGTGAGATCAGGTTTATTTCCCTGGTCTTTTCCCTTATGACCTATCTTGAGTTGTCTGGAGGTCTCTGCTCCTCTCAAGACAACTTTTTACATGACTCTCTGCTTCTGAATTCCTCTTGACCTTCAAGGTTAAGAGGTTATCTCCACTTTTACTGGCTTTGGATTATTGTGTTATCTTCTGTGACTCCCCTATGCCTAATTCTTTTGAATGAACCCTTTCTGAATGAACCTTTATTGAATTCTATTTTTTTTTAAAGATTTTATTTATTCATTTGACAGACAAAGATCACAAGTAGGCAAAGAGGCAGGCAGAGAGAGAGGAGGAAGCACGCTCCCTGCCGAGCAGAGAGCCCGATGCGGGGCTCCATCCCAGGACCCTGAGACCATGACCTGAGCCGAAGGCAGAGGCCTAACCCACTGAGCCACCCAGGCGCCCCTTGAATTCTATTTTGAATGTGCCGTCTATTTTCTGTTGGGACACTGACTGATACACTACACTAGTTAGGGATCTCCAGTAGAATTAATATTGAATAGAAGTAGCTACAGTGGTTCACTTTGCTTGCTCTTAATCTTTAAAAAAAAAAAAGTTTTCCCTACTTAACCGTTAAGTACGATGTTTGGCATGTTCTATAGATACTATTAACCATATTAAGGAAGTTGTTGTCTTAATCTGTTTTCTGAGAGTTGTTCATCATGAATCATTAACTTTATCAGATTATTTTTCTGTATCTATTGAGATGATTGCATGATTTTTTCTCCTTTATTCTGGTAATGTAGTAAAATATGTCTATTTTCATTTTCAAAACTTTTCAAGCATACATACAGGAAATTACACAAGTCAAAACTGTACAACTTGACAAATTACCACTAATTTAATAGACCCATGAAACTACCGACCACGTCAAGAGATAGAATGTTACCAGTTCCTCAAATCCCATATGGTGCCTGTTTCCAATCACCACCCTTTCTCTTCCACAAAATAACCACTATTCTGACTTCTAGATTAGTTTGGCTTTTTTTAGATTTTTATATAAATGAAATCAAATATTATGTACTATTTGAGGGCTGGCTTCTTTTGAGCAACGGTATGTTTATGAGATTCATTCATCTTATGCATACTCATTCCTTTTCATTTCTGTATCCTCTATTCTGAGTTAGACTTTGGGTTGTTCTGAATAATGCAGCAGTGAACATTTGTACTTACCTCTTGGTGCATATGTACATGCATTTCTATCGGGTTCATACCTAGAAAGAGAATTGCTAAGTTGTAGGGTATTGACCTAAGTTCAGCTTTAAAAGATGGCTGCCCAAAAATTTTCCAAAATACTTTGATCAGTTTATACTCTCACATAAAGTGGCATTGCTCTGCTTTTCTTCATGTTTCTTATGTGGTGCTTTGAACTTCTAGGAACTGTGGACTCATGGTCTTCATCATATTTGGAAAGTTGTCAGCCAAATGTTTCCTCAGACATTTTTCTGTCTCAGCTTCCTCCTCTTGGAACTCAGTTACACATATAATGGGCCCTTTGAAGTTGTCTCACAGCTCACTTGATTCTCTATTAAATTTCTTCCCTCTCTCTATATCATTTTGGATACTTTCTATCACTATGTCTTCAAGTTTACTAATCTTGTTTTCTGCAGTGTCTAAATTCCCATTAATAATAAAGTATGTTTCTCACTGCATACATTATAATTCTGTAGTTTCATCCCTAGGAGTTTAGTTTGTGTCTTTTCTAGAGTAATGATATCTCTACTTCACTTTTTGCACATAGAGAATACAGTTATAATAACGGTTTTAATTTTCCTGCTTCTTTATATGCCTGGTAATTTTTTTATTGAGCTGTACTTGACACATAACATTGTATTCATTGTAGGTATATACCTGGCAATTTTTGATTGGTGTAAGATATTATGAATTTTGCCTTGGATGGGTGGTAGAATTTTTTGTATTCTTGTAAATATTCTTGGACTTTATTTTGGGGCCCTGCTTAATTTACTTGAAAACAGCTTGATCTTTTCAGATTTTGCTTTTAAGATTTTTTAGAGGAGCAGAAGAGTTTTCAGTCTAGGGCTAATTATTTCCCACTACTAAGGCAAGACCCTTTTGAGTATTCTACCCAATGCCCCATGAATCATGAGGTTTTCCAGCTTGACTGGTGGTAATAGGCACTATTCCTGTAGATCAATTTGCCGAGGCCTCTGCTAGTTTTCTCACACACATACACTGATTGATATTCAGAGGATAACTTGAAGGGGACTTTCTGCAGCTTTCCAGAGTGCTTTCTGTGCCATTCTCTCATCTCTGGCACTCTGCCCTATGTACTATAACTGTCTTGGTTTCCCCAGGATCTCAGCTTTGTCTTCTCAACTCAAGGATCTACTGAGTTCCTCTTGAGTTCTTTTTCCCTACACTAATGCCAGGACATCTTCTGAAAACAGCAAGGTACATGCACATTTGTGATTATTATGTCTTTCTGATTAATTGACTCTTTTATCATTATGAAATGTCTAGCTTTCTCCTTGGTAATATTCTTTGCCTTGAAGTCTGTTTTCTCTGATATTAATATAGCCAGTCCAGCCTTCATATCTTATAGTTCACTTGGTATTTTTTTTCATCCATTTATTTTCAACCTATCTATGCTTTATATTTGAATTGTGTCTCTTGTAGGTACTACATAGTTGGGTCTTTATTATCCTTTCTGATATTCTCTGCTTTTTAATTGAGCCATTTAGAACAAGGGTAAGCAAACTATGGACCACCTAGTTTTAAATGGCCCACAAGGTTAGAAAGAATTTGTCATTTTAAAGTGGTTGAAGAGGAAGGAGGAGGAGGAGAAGAAGGAAGAGGAGAGAGAGGAAGAAGGAGAAGAAGGAAGGAGAGAGGAAGAAGAGAAATAAGTTCAAGAAAGGAAAGGGGGAGGGAGATTCCATAGCATCAACAAATAGTTTGTGTTCTGCAATGCCTAAAATATGTAGTATCCAGCTCTTTTCAGAAGAAGTTTGCTAATCCCTGGTTTAGACCATTAGCATTTAACCTAATTATCAATATGGTTGAATTTAGAACTCTCATTTTATTATTTTCTTTTTGTCTTTTTCATTCTTCTCTTCCTCTGTCATCACTTTCTCTTAGATTATTTGAAAAATTTCAGTATTCTACTTTAATTTGTATATTAGTTTTTAGCTATACCTCTTATTATTTTTTAGTGATTGCTCTAGGGATTGCAATATGTATTGCTAACCTTCCACAGTATACAATTAATATTTGTATTGCTGCACATGAAAAGGAAACTT